AATCGATTTTGAGTTATTAATACAGTGTTAGAGAGTAAAATAATAGCTATAAAATGGTAAAAAAATCATTCAAATTGGACATTTCCTTATGAAGTTACAAGCGTTTAAACATACAGCTGTTTAAAGAACAATATATGAGAAATCAGCCTTTAAAGTTTATGATTTCAGGCATTTCTCATGCAGAAACGATCATTAAATCCTTAAAAAGTGTTGTTTTAACATTAAAAATGGGGAAAATATTAACAGCATATAGAATGATGTATAGATATGTAAAGGCTAGTTTAGTGCAATAAAATAGATTTTTAAAAATTTGACATTCCAGCATGTTTTGGCCATTTTCTCTGAAACACAATTTGCGACGAGTGACTGGTTTGGCTTGTCTTTGCCACATATGTATGTATATATGTGTGTATATGTATATATGTGTGCGTATGCATGTGTATATATATATGTGTGTATATATATATATATATATATATGTATAAAGTTCTTTTGTATTTGTGTGTTAGTAATTTTATATGCTTATTCAAACAGTTTTAAGGTGCTTTTCAGTGTACTGTATTTTTCTAGTTAAGTTGTTTTCTTTTAAGTTATTTATTATGATTGACGCACCTCCTGAGTGCCGCTGTTTCACAACTAAAAACAATTTCACTACCTAAGCCTCGTTATGAGATAATGCATAACTGAGCCCCTTGCGAAACAGATTAATACTGAAGTTACTAAGAATAAGTAAAAAATTTAAATTTAATATTTTATCCCTCTCATTCCTTCGAAAAATGTTAGACTCATGTCATATAGCCTAGTAACTAATATACAAAGATTATAACAAGGCTGTTAACAGTTGATACGGGTTTCTATCGAACCGTACAAACATTCAAGATTGAAATGTATATATATTATTGGGCACCAGATGATTGTCAAATGGTTAGAATTACTATCACGTAAAAATACTGGATTGATAAGGATACTACACAAACATTTCACAGGCTACTACAATGCTCGAAAATTGACAAACACAACTTTACAGATGCATTTGTCAATCATAGTCGATCTTTCAGCTAAGCGACGCCTCTTAGATGTTGTTGCTAAAGCCGGGCACTCATCAAGCCGACTGGTCGTCGCACCAGCGGACGCGATTCTATAAAAAAAAAACGCAACGTGACAACGCGCGCAAGGGATCTTAACTAATGAAGATCTGTTCAGATTCACACCGACACTCAACGTCAAGGCGCAGGAAGTGCAGTTGCTGTCTCTTATACACATCTAGATGTGTATAAGAGACAGCATTAGGGCAGCTGGAATTCACCAGTATTCCCGGTGTGCCTATCATCGCATTCACTCAAGCTAACTTAGCGGAGCAGGGTGTGCTGTACGTCCACACCAGTCCCGAGGAACTCTATATGGATAGTTTTGTGTTCACATTAAGTGATGGAACAAATGAGGTACTAAATATTCCCAGGTCTATACTATATTATGTTCATTCCTAGACCCCTATGGTCTAGGACATTTATTTGTATTTTAGGCCTCCGGCCCTTAGTAATATTAAGAGAACGCAAGAAAGTAAATCACGTCTTCTTATATAAGCGAAATACAGATATTTCGATAAATTATATAACATTACGATCATTTGATGACACGTAAATGAATTAACAATTTCAATTGGTTCTCTATTGTAATACCATTTTTCACATTGTTTTAATTTGCCACCTCTTTTAAAAGCTATAATTTTGGTTTTATCACTATTTACTGTTAAATTCCAGGCTTCACAAAAATCAAATAATGTATTTAAAGATTGTTGTAATCCATAAATTGTATCGTTAACTAGAATTAAATTGTCAGCATAAAGTAGGTGATTAAATAATGCATTGCCTAATTGATCTTTTTCTCTATTATTTCATTGTTTTTCTCTAATATTACATTGATTGATATATCAGTGTTTAGTATTAATAAGGTCTACTGTACTTTCAAATGTTAAAATTAAGCTTACAGAATGCTTTTTATAAATTACCATTTTTAGTGTATTTTGGGAAAACCAATGTTTTAAATATAATATGATGTATAGCATTGTTTATGTTTTGTGTCTGTAATATATAAATAAGTTTTCCTCAAAGTATATCAAGAGTAACTTATCTCAAGATTTAACTAATACAGGGATAACTGTTTCAGCATTAATCTTGCCACTTAGGAAAACAATTTTCTTAAATTTCTGAAATTGTGATGAATAAGATTGTGTCTATACATATTCTTTATCTCAGAAAGAACATTTTTTTAAGTAGGGTGATTCTTTTTTGAGATACTTGTTAAGCTCAATATCACTGTAGTTTGAGATTACCTAATTATTATGTCCTGTTTCTTGGCAGCTAAATCAAATCTGATAGCATACTCCCTGTTATTAGTAACAAAATGAAATCCGATAGCACACACCCTGTATGTCTGCTTTTTCTGATTTTAATTGAACTTCAAAGTAACTAATTCTCTATTTCTCTGTAGACATGTCTGCATTTCTAGATATAGAAAATTAATGGCAATCCATCTAATTATTATAATTTAACTAATTTAATTTGTATGGCCAACAGGATGCCAAAGGCAGCATTTGATAGGCAATCCAATATGAATTAATTATTATTTTTCTTGTTTTTAAAGCCTATTTTAAATTATGAATACAGGATATATACTCCATAAAATGTTGAATTTTAACCATGTATTATTATTGGGTTTTTTTTTCATAGGTTACACTGACGTTCTACATCAGCATCATACCAGTTGATGACTCTCTTCCATTGCTAAGTAACATGGGGATGCGTGTCCAGGAAGGAATTCGTAAAACAATCACTGAATTTGAACTGAAAGCTGTTGATCTAGACACAGAGGTAGGCTAAAGAAAATGAAATAGTTGTTCTTTGACTTTCCTGTATTTATTTTTTCAGGTATCAATTTATTTCAAGGCCAGATAGGCTTGTTTCTAACATTTATTGTTTTCCTTTTAACATCCTTTTATTTTTTTTTATAGTGGCAATCATGATGCTATCATTTTCCTTCCACATAACATTCCTGTCCCAGAACAGGCAATCATTTTTATTCTCTATTGCCCTCTATGCTGTATTATTGATCATCAGCACAAAATCATTGCCAGTTGATATCAGTTTTTTAGGTGAGAATGGTTCTTGGGGGTCACTATATTTCAATAGTCCTCTCAACAACTTACAATAATTGCTTAATATTTTTTTTCTTTAGTGTTTCATTTTAATGACCTGGTCATGGGAAATGGTAACAATCAACATACAATTTCATTTCATTTTCATTTATTTATTAGACACAAAGGTCCTGGGACTTCTAAAGAAGCAATAGCCTCTGTGACTCAATGAGTCAGAAGTCCCAGCAAAACACCAAAAACATCAAAAATATTTACAATATTACAACAATGAACTATGTCATCCACTCCCACTGCTGGATGTATAGACCTGTGAGCACATTCATCATAGAACAATAATTTTAACCTAGAACATTTGCATTCTACCAGGTATCCATTTATACCCCTGGATGGAGACAGACAGATTTTGATGAAGTGGTTTCCCTGAGATCCGAGCTCTACATGAAGCACAACCTCTCCTCTATCTTACTTATTAGAAGATTGAAATATAAATATTCTGCTTTTGTAAAAAGTAATGGTTATCAGCACAATAAGTGTAAAAGGACATTATGGTCAACTACATCTTCTACAACCTTTGATGTGCTACTTGTCATTAAAAGACTTATGGAGAGAGGTCCTTTTCTGTTGTTGGCCTTAAGCTTTGGAATTCACTACCACAGTCTGTTCAAGAGTCTCTTCATGTGATGATTTTTAAATACCCTCTTTAATCATTCTTATTTGACAATCTCTAATTTTCCTCCATTCATGTTTGGTTTTTTTTCACTTTCCTTTGTTTTTGTGGTTTTTCTTCTACCACTTTCTTTTCCATTTCAACCACCTATTCTGGTTTTGTTCTTTTCTGTTGGCCTGAAAAGTGAATAGAGACGAACGATATAGATGCTATACATGTGCATACCCATTGACCATTGAACGAGTGTTTGATAATATTCAATTATAGCTGATTGACTTTTTTCCTTCCCTCCTCTCTCCAGCCATCTGATGTGACATTCACTGTAAGAAAAATCCCTCAACATGGAGCATTACAGTTTACACTGGATGAGAACAGTTATTCATCGGTTACCGTGTTCACCATGGACGACATTTATGAGAATCGTGTCAGTTACATTCATGATGGTTCAAATACGTTGACTGATAGTTTCACCTTCACTGTCTCTGATGGGACAAATCAGTTGTTCTTGGTTGAAGTTGCTGGTAATCTGGAATCTACCGATATACCACAGGTGTTTGATATAAGCGTCACACCAGTTGATGACAGCACTCCTCGTCTGACCAGGAATGTTGGTCTTTCATTCCTTCAGTATGTTGATGACAAGGTAATTATCTTCATGTCCATATCAATAATATAGAATTTAAAGTCCATCTATATCTTTGTACAACAAAAAGAAAACATGGGAAGCTGTTCATTCATTTAGGGCATGTATAGGCAAGCTAGGGCAATTCCATTATTTTCTTTTATGCTTCAGAAGTATTAAGTTTAAAAAAAAATGTTGGCATTTATCACTTTATCCAGGTATAAGTATCTCTCATAGACTAAAAAAATCACTGCTGATTTGTTTGATTTCATGAATACTTAGCTGGATAAGGTGAAACGTTTTTAATACCTTAATCATCAGAGGAGGGCAACAAAAAAAAAATGAAAATTTTGTTTTCTTATTTAGCAAAATGATTTTGCCAAAGCCTCTAGGCAGAAGAGAAAAATGAAAATAGAATTTTATTGATTAATGTAAACAGTGTAGTAATAAGATTCATAAATGCTTTAAATTTATATAATTAAGGAAGAAATTTTTTTTTTAAATTTCCATTTTTGTGGTCAAACTGGCCAAAAATAAAATTTTATTTTTGGGTTGTTTGCAAACAAGGTATAAAAAATATAAGTGCGCCTAAACCGGTAATTATATACTGATGATTCATGAATTGACCTTGCACATTTTCAAGTGTTATGTATAGCTTTAACCATGCTATCCTAAGATAACAAGTGCCTCATGCTGGTGTTGAATTGTTCCCAATATATAAAAAATATTGAAGAAATTCCCAACATTGATTTTTCTTATTCCTTTTGTATTCTCATCTACACTTTTTCCTTTTCATAATTAACCTCTGATTATGATATCCTTGTAGGCTGTTGGATTGATTACTGATACAAACCTTCAAGCAATTGACAATGACACGCCTAACAACCAGTTGGTATACACAGTTACTACACAGCCATCGCACGGCTTCTTGGAATCAAGTGCATATCCAGGTGCTCGTATAGCCACCTTCACTCAAGGTAAAGTGTTGATTAAATGAGCATTCATATTATTAACATTAGCCATGTTCAGATGGCCTTCTATCTAAAGTAAATTTACAACAGATGTAAAATTTTACGTTTCTTACTTCTGACGAGTGTTCATTTGACTTCAAAGCTTTGAAGTAACTATGCCAATAGAAATATTCCGGAAGTGATAATTGCTGCTTTCGTTATCTCTCAATGGTTATTTTGCACAAATTCTTAAAGTTTTAGACAATTATGAAAAAATTGTGTCTACAAAAGTTTTAGTATACACATCATTAGAAATGTTGTTTTGGCACTCATAGGTAATTTATGTGGGTTGGGTGTCATAATATAGGCAATATTTATATTTATTTAACTGCGTCTACACTTTTTTAATACCTTAATCATCATAGAAAGGCAGGAGAAAATTGATAGAATGCTGTGTTCACACCTCTGTATCTACCCTGAGTGGTTATTACTTACCGTACATTCCTTGTGTATGTGGAAGTAGCACAATTACTCCTGAAACTTCTTAGAATTAAATCATCTGTAGTAATTGGCAAGTAACTTAACACTGTGAGTGTGTTGACAGGCACTAACCAAGAATCACGACAATTGCACTAACCAACAATCACGACAATTCAAGTGCACTTCAAAGCTTATTTTTAACTCCTCTAAACGTGCCTATTGTTTGTAATGCTTGTACATGGTTTCTATGTGTATATCTCAGTTACAGTTAGAAATATGACAATTATTGACAAGATATGTAAAAATATGATGTTGTATGTTTTTTCAACAGAGGATGTTGTGAATGGTTTAATTCGCTATGTGCTCTCAGCAGGAGTTACGGACGTAAGCAGTGATAGCTTTGTCTTTGATCTTGCTGATAGCAAGCCAAATGTCGTCACTGGTAACTTTTTTCGCGTTCAGTGGCCAGTACTGCAATTTGAACATGAGCAGTACAATGTGACAGAACAGGTGACGACCATCAATCTTAAGGTCAAGCGTACTGGAAATCTCAACCAGGTAAACAAACATTTGATTCTGCGTATCAATTACAAGACAATACAGTTTTAGTTTTATACATTATGTTAATTGTAAAATTCTGGAAACTTGTTTACAGCTATACTGATAATCAATCATTCAACTTATTCAGTATATATTTATTTCTGTTCATTTAAAATTTAAAGATAATGATGGTGAAAAGCTTAATAAATAAGCACAAACAGAATTTAATTTGGTTTGGTTATTAAGGGGGAAAAGTGGTTAAGCCAAAAATAAATAAGCCAAGTAATAATTTAGATCCTCAGTATCCAACCCCCAGCCCACGCGACTTTGCTAAAAAATAAATATTTTTTTCCAGCCAATTTTTAGAAAAAGCTTTTCTGTTCATTGAAACACAACCTACTATAGAATTGTTAACGTGGGCCTGGCTTAAGTGGGGTCGCTGATATGATGCAATGTATAAATATTTGCGGCGCCAGCAGGCTTTTAGCATGTTATTCTGTTGAAACACTCCTTTGAAAACTTATTTTTGCAGTCAGAAATTGCCATTGCCAGGAATGTAGAGGTGTCAATTTGCTCACTGAGGTGGTATATGACCCCTATCCATCAAAGTGCTTCCCTGGCTTCTTCTATTTCGAATCCACTACTATAAAAGTGAATGTGTTTGGCTGAAATTGAAAAAATGGAAGTAGGGACCTACACAATTTATATCGGCCTGCCGCTGGTGTCAATATATTGAGACTGGCCACCAACTTTCAAAAATGTTGAATACCCGGGATTTATATCATCATTTGTACAGTATAATGGTGGTTTTCATAATTCATTAAAGCTTATATTCAAATTTTATGAGAATAATACTGTGATATCCCCGTATTTGTATGTAATATGATATCATCATGCCCATATATTTGTGGCACATCACACAAATTTGTTAGTTACTTAAAATTTGATAGTGTGGTCAGAGCTTAAGGCATTCTTATAACTTTGAAACAGGAAGTTTCGTAGAGTACTACTATGTCTTTTTAGTCTTTTCTTGAAATTGTAAACAAAAGAAACAATAGTTGTTTATATATTTTTTGTATATTTCTTAGTATGCTGTTGTGTTATGTAGTACCAAACCATTGTCAGCAACCTCACTTTTGGGTGTCGGGCCAGGTAAACATGATTACAGAGAGTATGCTGGTCAGGTGAGTTTTTACTTGGACATATTATTACATGTAGATTAGTTATATAACACATGGGGCTTGCCATACCAAAACCAGTATCAGTGAACAAAACAAGAAAATTGATTTTTAGTTGCTATGCATAAAATGCAAATAGGGACTGTTGCAATCACATTTTGCGCATGTGTGTGTGTGTGTGGACATTTAGAGTGAAATTGCACATACGTCAGAAAAAGTTTTCCGACATTTTGTTTTTACCTCGCGGCATGAAGTTCCTCAGTGGTGGTTCAGTCACCGTCTTCCGGGATTTTGTATACCTCACGACGTGACGATCTTCAGTGGTTGAATTTGAGCTCACGCTATTTCGATCACCGCTTATTGTCAACGTGACTTCTTCAGTGTGGTTCAGTTTGAGCTCACACTATTTCGCCATAGGCAAATTTCCACTCAGTTTCTTCTCTTGCAATCACATTTTGTGTGTGTGTGTGTGTGTGTGTATGTGTGTGTGTGGACATTAAGAGTGAAATTGCACATGCGTCAGAAAAAGTTTTCCGACATTTTGTTTTTACCTCACGACGTTCCTCAGTGATGGTTCAGTCACCTTCTTCCCGGTTTTTGCTTTTGATTAGCACTCCCATGACGCCCGCAGGTCTCTGGTTAATATTTTCTAGTTTGCACATTATAAGCTTTAACATAATGGGTCATTTACTCAACTCATTTAATCAGCTTTGCCAAATTTACAAGTAAAAGTATGATGGCTTCTTTGTACTACATTTATTCTACTGCCACATTCTTATTTTAATTACTCGGTTTAACATTTGGTAACAGTACGCTGGTTTTTGTTGACAAGCCTCATAAGTTAGTATAAGAAATCTCATTGTATATAATATTCTGAAAATAATGTTTGTAACAATCTGTTTTCAGAGTTGTTAAATAAATTTATGCCTGGTTTCTGCCTCGTCGGTAATTGTATGTATTTCATGAATTTACCATTAAAATATCGTAAAGTATTTTGTTTCATTCAATAATTTTCTTGGCATTTTAGATTCAATTTGAAGAACGCGAGACAGTGAAAACATGCAGTATATCTATTGAGGATGACCTGGTGTTTGAGGGACAGGAGAGTTTGATAGTTGAGCTGAGCATGCCAGATTACTCCCTGCTGGGGTTACGATCACATACCCTTGTTGTCATTGATGATAGTGATGACAGTTAGTATACAATGCTTTGCAAAACTTCCAACTACTATGATCTTAATGAAGTGATAATTCTACCATTTGATATTATTTTGGCAAATCTGCATATTCTTCTATGACTGTTAAAAATATAAGTATCCTGAGTTATACAGCTTTTGAATGGTTTAAAGCAGCTATGAATAAATTAACTATACCGGCTGACCATTAGCAATGAGGGAATGCTACCTTTGTAAAATGCTAATAGTTGACGGATATCCAACCACAATCATTAAAACAACTTAACTTTTTTCTCAACATCATCCAGTGCCGGTGACAAGCATGTTTTTTTTTTTTTTTTTTTTTTTTTGGCTTTAATAGGCACTAGAAGTATGTTTTATTATTATTATTATTATTATTATTATTTTTATTATTATTATTATTGTTATTAATATTATTATTATTATTTATTGTTGTTATTATTATAGGCATCATGAATACTTACATTTATTGACGTTATATTATATTTGATAAATAAAATTTTTTTTTTCCAGAGCCAAGCATTGAATTTGAAAAAGCTGAGTATCGTATAAATGAAGAGGTTGGTTTCTTCTCAGTGCCAGTCATCAGAAAAGGCAAGTACAGAAATTTGATAAACACAAATTAGTGCAACATGACCATATTTCTTAATTTTAATATTTCGATAATTTACATTTTTGGTTTCTAATGTAGGAACCTTTCCATTCAACATTCGACAAAAATTTGTAAACAGGAAAACTTGATTTTCCAGAAATCTGATCGTTAAGATTTTTTTGTTGACCCAAGCTAAACTGGATATGATGTCGTTCCTTATTTATTGGTTTTCTGTTTTAACAAATATTAAAGCCAGAACTAAGGACATAAAATACCCTCTACTCATGAAAAACTACAAATTGTTAATGGTTAATGGTTTTTAATTTATAGAGCGCAAAATACAAAAAGTCTCTAAGCGCTATCAGGCAAGTGTAAAGATGGAACGGAAACCAAAACCACAAAATAAAAAGAAGTGAAATTTGAATACCATGCCAGCACCCAAACCGAAGTATGGGGATACGCCCTCATCGCTGGCTAGGGTTCAATTTAATTGAACTACAGTCAGCACCTGTTGAGTCTCGGCCATCTCGGATTCGGGCGCCTCCTATCCTAGTTAAGGCTATAAAAGCTAGCTGGCATGGAAATAGGGGAAAAAATAAATTACAGGGACGAGAATAAGTGGGTCTTAAGTCGTTCTTTGAAAATGATGACAGAAGGTGACTCACGAATAAATAAAGGTAACAAGTTCCACAGCTTGGGCCCAGCAACCATTGTATGGTTAAAGTCAGTGGAATGTTGATGAATTTTCAGTGTTGCCTAACTATCTAATAATATGTGATGTATGTGACTCGAGGGGCTGCCATGGACAAATATTATCTTTGGAAGCTTAGCCAAAACAGTAGTACAGAAAAAAACATGACCTACATTCTGAAAACTAAATAAAGATAAAGTATTTGTACGGAAGCTTAAAGTGACCTTCCGAGTTGCCAAGATAATTATTTTGGAAACATGGAATAAACACTTACTAAGACGTTTTTCCGAGATAATTTATCTCAGATAGACGGATTCCTGAGATAATTTATCTTGGAAAGATGTTTTTCCAAGATAGTCTATTTTGGAATACTTACTGGATAAACCGATAAATGCCTAAGTTTCCTTTGAAACTTACCTCTCGAGCATAAAAGAAAAATAATGGACTCGCCCTAGCTCTTCTATATACTCCCTGCGTGAATGAACAATATCCTCGTTGACTTCAAGCCTATAACAGATCTCAGCGAGGGAGGAGGGAGGGCGTTTATCCAGGTAAGTATCTCACTCATAGACTAACAACATCGCTACTGATTTGTTTAGTCTATTTTGTGAATACTTACCTGGATAAACCGATAAATGCCAGATTAGCACCGGCAACCCGTGGAGGGCGAGATCAATCACAAAAGAAGGTACATACCTAACGTGACGGGCGAAGAACTGCCTCAGCTACTGAAGCCTCGGAGGCAAGAACATCCTTCAAGTAGAAGGAGGAAAAAGTTGTGTCTGAACGCCAACGTGCTGCTTGGAGAATGTCCGGTAGTGGAAGCCCACGGAACAAAGCCCAGGACGCAACAGAGCCGCGAACCTCATGCATATGGGCAGGGGGACGGCATGTGAAAAGATTGTGTAGGCCAGCTGGATGGTGGCAACAACCCAACGAGCAAGCATGTCGTTCGAAGCTGGGCCATGCGGGGCAACAGAGGAAACAAAAAGATAAGAGTTAGCACTCCTAAGTGATTTCGTGCGGTCAATGTAATATTTAATGGCCCTAACGGGACACCATAATTTATCCTCTCTATTGTGCGGCAATGGTGGGAATGAAAATAGCAGGAGGCATATGCACCAAGGTCTGCGTCTTAGAAAGAAAACCTGTATGAAAAGTAAGACGGACACCACCAAGTTCAAACCGAATGTGTCCGGGCTCCAAGCAGAGAACGTGAAGTTCACCACGGCGCTTGCAGGATGCAACTGCAAATAAAAATGCAGTCTTGAGGGACAAATGATATAATGATGAGACCCTAGAAGAGCCTCGAGAACAATTGTGAGGTCCCACTGAGGCAGCAAAACACAGCGAGGTGGTTGAGAATTAAACATTCCACGCATTAACTGCGCTGCGCTAGAAGTAGAAATACTCGATCCGTCAGGAAATTTGGGTACAATGACAGCTAACGCTGACCGATATCCAGCAATGGTGCACACCTGCAACCCAGATTCAAACAAATAATGCAGGAAAGTACACCTCTCCTAGAGAAGGAGACAGTGGATCAATTTCGTGGTCGGAACACCATCGAGAAAAAATTCTTAATGCGACTGTTGTAGTGGTGTGATTGGGCGGCAAGGGAGGCAGGGCCCTCTGGAATACCACCATGTCTGAACTCATCCCAGACTTTCCAAGATACGTCACTTTGGAATTCCGTCTTTACAAGATAATTTATCTTGGAAAGACGGAATTCCAAGATTAATTATCTCTCGAAAGACGGAATTCCAAGATAATTTATCTTGAAAAGACGGAATTCCATGATAATTTATCTTGGAAATCCTTCTTTCTGGGATAAATTTTCCTAGAATTATCCTGGAAAGATGGGTTATCAAGTATTCAGCGGCTGTAGCCAAAAGTATTCATTCAACAAGTTGCTTTAAAAAATACTAATGTAATGTATTATAAGTTTCATATATTCAAATATGTTTTATGTATTTACTTGCTAAATTCATTTTCAATGTAGAGTACAGTAGTAATTGTTTTTATTACTTTACATTAAAGCCCTTCACTTAACTGATGCCCGACTTTACTTGACTGGTTGTATGTTAGCTCTTTAGCAGTATAC